TCCCCTGTTCCCTTTCTCTCCCTCTATCCTCTGTCGATCACCGTCCTTTCTCGATCTCCATGTGTCCACCTTGCTTGCCGCCCCGTCTATCACGACGCCCCCCCTTGCCTTCTTCATCACACCGTCCCCATCTGTCCCCCTTATTCGCCTCTCAGTCGATCACGGTCCTCCTCCCTTCCGAGGCTCATTTGTGCAGCTCGCTCACCTGCCCATTACAAGCCCCCCCCGTGCCCTTCCACCCCCTCCGTCCTCTGTCCATCATCGTCCTTTCTGCTCCCCCCTCCCTTCCTCATCACATTGTCATCGTCCAATCCGCTCTCCATCTCGATCTTTGCCCCCCCCCCAAAAAAAACACAACGTATATACAAAGAAAAAAACCAAAAACACATTTCTCCCGCACCTCCTCGTCACCATCATCACCATCATCATAATCATGACCATCACCATCATGACCATCACCATCATCATAATCATGACCATCACCATCATCATAATCATGACCATCACCATCATCCCGATCCTCGTCATCATTATCATCATCTATCGAATGCATCTGTTGTGATCACCTCCATCCTCCTCCTCACCATAGTCACGATCATCATCATCATCATCATCATCATCATCATCGACCCCTGTTTCGTCATCCTTCTTTTCCTAGTCTGCCGTCGTCGCCATCATCACCGTCATCATCATCATCATCGAAACTGCATTTTACCTCGTCTTCTCGCATATGCTCGACCGCCCTCGTCCACATGCCCCGGTCCTTCCCCGCCCGCAATATCAGAGAGAGGGAGAGAGAGAGAGACGAGAAGAGAGGGGAAGAGAGAGACAGAGAGAGAGAAAGAGAGTGTACCTTCGTCACCCATTGTTAATCGGTCATCTCCTCTTCTCTGTCTCGCAGGATATATGTCCACAAAAGGCGTCGCTCCCCGGAAGCCCCTTCATGCATGTAGACTCTTCCAAGCAGGACGGCCCACCCAATCAGCAGCACCAAACAACAACACCAACCTCTGAAGCACGACGGCGCACCCAATCACCAGCACGAGCACAGACCACAAAAGTAGAAGCGAGAAGCATTTGGAGTATGGATGCGGCAACCTGGACGAAAGCACGAGCGTCCAAGCACGAAGCACGGAGTGCATGCACAAAGTCGGCGCGGATGCAGCTGAGCGTATCGTTAGCTCACCACAAGGCGAAACCGCGGAGCGCTTGGATGACGCGTCCTCGAATGCAAGGAGCAGGCGCGAATGCACACCCGATGGGACCGATGTGCGTGCAAGCAGCCGTTGGCAAAGCACACCATGGGACCGACACGCTCACGAGAAAACTCCACGACACACACACACACACACACAAAAAAAAAAAAAAAAAAAAAAAAAAAAACCGACCGCCCGCGCCCCACCGGTACCACTTCCCATTCTGTTTTCTGTTGGGCCCGCGAGGTAGCGTTAGGGAAGAATGTCGTCAGTGTCTCACAGCCCAAAAAAAGAAGACTATGGAATGTTTGTCACAGCAATCATCCATGACAGAAACCAACCAATGTTCTTACCTGACCATGTATTTCAATCACAGGGTTGCCCTTCCGCGTCTACAGCCACAAGCAGCAGCAGCAGCAATTCAGGGACAAAGCAGTAACAACGCAAGGGGATTCAGTCAGAAAAGCAGTCCTAATTCAGGGGCAAAGCAGTAACAATATAGACGGATCCCGTCAGAAAAACAGTCCTAATTCAGTGGCAACGCAGTGACAGCACGCACAGATTCAGCCACAAAAGCAATCCCAATTTAGGGGCAAAGCAGTCGCAACACAGACGGATTAAGCAGGAAAAGCAGTGCCACCTCACTGAGTTAATAATGCTCATAAATGAGTTATAAATGTGGATTTTTTTTTCCCAAGTCTTGAAGTCTGCAAGAAAGGAACAAGGAACATTCACCACTTAAAGCCAAAGCAAAGCACCTCCTTCATTGTCCCTGTCGTTATAAGACCCACCTGATTCTTTTCAGACTTGAAATCATGATCTGTTTATTAACAGTTACGTTTGTGTACCATGCAGACATGTGGCCTATTTGCAGATTCATAGTATTTACAGACTGAATTGCAACTCACAAGAATAATAACTATTAAATTAGTATTAATAATGAACTAACTCAGTAGTAAGGACTATTAACAACTATTACAAAGTAAATCCTTCCATGTTTGAACGTTGTTTTCTCTTTTTCACAGTTTGTATTACTTTGTAACGTATCCCCTAAACCGCCACTACGCTTCCCAGCTAGGTGCTCGGCCTATCAGACCAACATGCCTGGCGGAACCAGCCGAAGCAAAAAGCACACCCATGCTGGTTCGTTTCTTATAGGCGCGCAACAGAAATTCGTATCCCCCCAAAAAAGGCTAGGAAGTACTGGTGGTTTGAGTCTGTTACATCAAAGCACCAGTTCGAACTTAGTCCACCAATGTCTCCTATCAAAAAAGTGAGATAAACAACCACAGAGAGAAAAAACCCTTCCTACAACAGAAAGATAAGAGCCAGCAGCCTAGCTCAGTTGGTTGAGCATGCAAGTGGTATTCAGGAGGTCGAGGGTTCAATTCCCCAGGGCCCCCTGCAGCGGGCTTGGTGTTTACCAGCTGCGATAATTGGTGTGCCCCCTCTCACCAGTCTTGCTAGGAGCCTGGGTTCTACCCTCACTCAGCCCTTGCCCCTGCCATCCATCGCCTGGGCTTAGGAGCTTAGGTGCTACTCCCTGCATAGAGTAGAGTAGAGAGGAAGTACTCTTTCCAGCGTAGAGGTGGCGTACACTCGGATATCCTGGCTCAGATATATGGATAGATAGAGTGCGGTATGTAGGTAGGTAGTGTGAGATGAAAGAATCGAGAGAAAGAATATAGTGTAGTTTTTTTTAATTTTTTAAAGAAAAAGAAAGATAAGAGACAAAAACTACTCAGTGCGGGCGGGGAGGGTAGCTGGGGGAAGGGTATGGGGAGGAGGGGCGAGAGGGATCCAGAGCCACTTTGATGCGTGCTTTTTTCATTGACCTGTGCTTCCTCTTGAACCTCTCCTCATTTTTCCGAATTAAACTAAATCACAATTTAGAAACTTTATAATGGCAAAAATCCCTGATAATCAGCCGACTTATTATCTTCCTTTCTAATAAAAGTGCAAGGATGTCACGGCTGCAGCCCTGGTCCATGTCCCAGCTCCAGTCCAAGTTCCCAGTTCCAGCTTCGGGCCCACTTGCATATACCATATTCCCAGCTCCTACGTAGGTTAATGTTAATAGGCCATGGGTAGGAAGCTTCCCGTGGGTATTTGTAGGGATAGGAAAAGGCTGTAGAAGCCGTTGCGCCCTTTTTGTCAGTCAGCCGGAGTCAGGTCCAGTCAGACGCGAAGTGTCAGAAAAGTCCGCAAACCGGTCTGGAAAGTCAGAAAGGCGAATGGTCCAGTACAAAAACTTCTGTCGAGGAAGTTCTGCACAATATTCCCTCGCAAGACAATGCCGAAACACTGCTGCGCTATTTGGGGATACATCCCTGTGCGCTGTATTGTTGTTGGTAGTTGCTAGTCGAGGGCGCTGGACGCCATAGCCAGGATGAGTGCAACATAGACAGTGTAAAGGGAGGTATTCCGAGAGACGAGAACTTGGGTAAGGAGAGAAGTGGGTTGAGGGAGAGGGCAGCCATACCCGAGAAAGCTTCCTGGTGGGCATAGCACATGTCTTGTACAAAGACAATTCTGTGTAACTGAGCTGATTGGCGGAGACAATCTTCGAGTTCTTGTGTTCTGTGCATGAGTGGCGGTTAATGGAAGACCAAAAATTCGGGTTTTTCTGCCACATCACCACAAACAATGTGGTGGAAAATTGCGAACAAACAATGCAGGCTCATAATACAAATAGAAGAAAAAAAAAACAAAAAAAAAACAGGCAAAAAAACGAAAAAAAAAAGTTAAAAACACACTCAGAACGAGTCAGAAGCACTACAATAAAACCCTATTCGGACTAGATTTCGAACTTTTCCCAAATTCAGTGTTTTTGCAAACGTTTTTGTTACTGGTCCAAATACATCAAAACTGGATACAGATATACCCTAAAGCTAATACATATCACACACAAAAATAAAAAACAAGAAAAAAAACAAAAAATCAGGGAAATATGGCAGTTTCGGTGAAAATTTTGCCGAAAATGACACCACCCATTAACCACTAGTGCTGTCCGTGTGGTGGCCGGTGTGAGAATGGTGTGAAAATGTCCTGGATGGTCAGTCTGAAAGCAAAAGCAAGCAATTGCCAATTGTGAATCATCACGATTGTCGCAATTCTGGCCTTCTATATCTGTGCGTGTTGTGAGAATGAGAGAACAGAACCAAGCACCACACTTGCACCTTGGTGGGCCTTACACATAGGGTGGGCAAACCACACACACGCACATGAACGCTCCGCCCTCGCCCCCCACCCACCCACCCACACACACACATTTTTGCCATCACTCACCTGCGTTGTGACCCAATTGAGATATTCCTCCCATCTCAAATCAGGTGCATCCCGATCCGGTCGAAGGACTGTCCAGCCCGTACCCCGCAGTCGTCTTTCCACTGTGTCAGCGACCTATGAGAAGGAGAAGAAATTCAGCCAAACACCCAGGGAGTGAATCTGAGGTTCTCAATCCAACCTTCTGGATGTCTTGTAGTTACACATATACTCAGTCATGTACAGTTAAAATGCTATGGCATGCTCTCGAGTCTCAAACAATGAAAAAGAAAACCAAAAAAAAAAACAAAGGAGGTCATGGGCACAGATTCGTCCAGTGGCCTGTCTGGATTATGTCCATGTTATAATTGAAAGCACATATTCATGATATTTATTATTTTTGGAATTCCATGACGTCTTTCATGATTTTCTCCTGAGGCTCTTTTTCCTCTTCCTTCTCCTCGGCTACCTCTTCTTGCACAACCTTGTTCTTTCCTTTCACAAGCCTCATTACCGTCTGCAATTCTGCAGTGTCATTATCAATCTTAATCTCTAGGTGTGCGAGGTAGGCCATCATCTTTTGCAAGGTATACGCCACGTCAGTTTCCGAATCTACAACATGAAATATATGCTTTATGTCTTCTACCTTTCTTGCTTGTTGCTCCTTTTCTTTCTTTTCTTTCTGATAGGCTTCCTTTCTTCTTATCTTTGCATCCACTGCAACTTGCAACTGTTTGATTGTGTCATCCATGATCTCTTCAGTTAGTTCTGGTTCCTCCCTTCTTTCACTTGGTTCTCCTTTCCCCTCTTCTTTGGCCTCATCTTTGGCTATCTTCGCGAATTGCTCAGCGAGAAAATGATTGAGGGCCATTCGTCCCCGTTCAAGAATCTGCTGCACTCTACCGCTGGTCTCCAACATCTGCATAGCAGTTTCAGCCTGTGAAAGTTTGTCTTCTGCAGCACGCAGATCGAACTGGCTGCGAACATGTTGTTCAGCGTCTGGCCCAGCGTCGTGCAGTTTAATGAGCAACTGGCGAATACGACCCAGCATTTGCTGCCGCCTTTCTTCATTTTGACTACGAGTTCTATCACTCCTTGATCAGCAAAGAAGGCAATCGAGATGGGAGAGAAGATTAGAGGGATGTGCGAGGATTTAGTCCCTCCGCAGTGTCTAAAAGGCCGCACCCGCCCTAAGTGAAGGCGGGCCTGCAAATATGTGCCAATGCCTGTTTATAGGCCTATGAGACCAGGCTGAGGGGGAGGGGCCCAAGCAGAGCCTGTTGGAACCCTTTTATGTGGGCATGGATCCTCGACGAGGCCTTGCTCCAAGTTAGTTCCTCGGCATGCCCCTGTGGGGCGCTTTCAGCAAGCATGACCCCGCCCTAAGTGAAGGAGGGCCCCTCAATTTCAATATGGCCTGAGTTGGTCAATTTTGGCAAAGTTTGGTGGACGCCAGACAGTTGCCACGCGCCAGTTGGTTACATCCTCTGTACTCGTGAGAATCAGAAATAATTTGTGAGCCTTCTAGGCTCTTCCAGCAGCACAGGCGAGGCAGGGAGAACCTCACGTTTACTCCTGGGTGGTTGGACAGGCCTTACCGATTTGGTCCCAGGCCACTGTCCGAATGGGCCTGGGCGTTGACACTTTGGCCCAAACGGGCTTTACTGGAAGCACATGAGGCCCAGCCAGACAGCAAATTGGGCGAGCACTTTCCATAAACGAAAGAGCTCGCCACTGGTGGGGACATTCGGGCACTGGCTTGTGCAAGCGGCAGTGAAGCTGGGGTGTGCGCTCGCGGACTGCTTGCTGTGCGCTAGCGGATGCCGGGCGCGCGCGGGCGTCGAAGAAGAAGACAGGGTGCTGCTGAGGACATCACCATAGCCAACCCTACATATCCACGGCTTGGCTTGGATAGCTACTGGAGGTGGTGGTGGTCTTCGTGTATGGGGAGGAAGACGTGGGCGATGAAGTCAAGGGTGAGAGAGAGAGAGATGAGGTTGATGGTGTGAGGGCATGTACTTGGTCGTGGCAATGGTCTACAAGGTCGACATCTTCATGTACTATGGTTGTTGTTGCTGATGTCAACAGGATGCATTGTCAATTCGTAGGCTGCTAGTAGCAGTGTGATCGTAGCCTGGGCGCTGAGCGCAAAGTAGGAGGGAGGACTTTGGATGCATACGTTGATGGTGGCGAGAGTATGCTCTCATTGACATTTGGATTCAGTACTTTGGTTCTCCGTTGGTGGAATATCAGTGCATTTCTGCTTTCTGGACAGCGTTGGACTTGCTGACTTTCAAATTTCAATGTGATTTTGCACTCTGGATTTTTGTCATTTCACTATCGTTCATTTTCCTTGCAATTTGGTATCAAAGCTGGTTCGAGCCGCTCTGCTGGCTCCTTCGCAATAGCTGTTTGGTGCTTCGTTGGGAAATGGCGAGGCAGTGATAACACTTGTGCGTTGGTGTATAGGCGGCCCTGAGTCACGAGGGCGAGCTTGGAAGGCTATGTGGTGTCATGTGGGGTGCACGCTAGATGATGAGAGCTTGTTGACATGGCATTTAAGGCGAGGTGGAACTGCATTGTATTGTGGGCTGTGTCGAGGCATCGACCGGTCATCATAAATGCACGTCAGGTTACTGGTGAGAAATATGTGGTTGGGGGCAGCACTATGAGGTATGTTGCTCCTTACCTTATCTACCCTCTTCGTTGCTTCTTACCGTGAGGAAGTGAGTTTTGTCTTGAGAGTCCTCTCATTGTCAGGTGTCACGAGCGCTCAATCTTGAGAGTCGACATTCTTCCTGGGAGCAAGCTGGTGGGAGATGGGCGTTGCCTCTGAAGGGCCCTGGACGAAGCACTCGGGCCACAGACACCATGCCAACCCGCTGGGACTAGTACACCCATGCTTTGCCACTTGTCCTTTGCTCTGCTTGCTGCGCTGTAGAGGTCATGTCGGACAGGCCAGCCCTATGAGGAAGAAATGAGTACCAGACAGTCTATAAAGAGACTCTGGCGGGTATATACGACTCGTGTTGTACACGAGTATAAAAATAGTACGCACGGGGCGGGCCAGTCTTGTACGGACTTGGGGCACAGAGGTGGGCCGATTGCACACCTTTAGACACGCCGTTGAACCAGAGCTATAGGACGTCGACACAAAGTGACTACTCAAGAGGGATATAGAGGGAGGGAAGATTCCAGTAATTGCTCGATTGTTCAATATTGTAATATTTGCATTGAGTATGGATTTCAGCAAATGATTTTATTTTTATTTTTGATTACTTGGCTGCGATGGACTGCTAACAGCTAACAGACGGTTGCAGATAGAGTAGTTTATTCTTGCTGCAACCATCTGTTTCAAACTAGTCAAAAGCAGGACTAGAATTGTTTGCAGGGGGTCTGAAACTATCTGCTGTTACCGCTTGGACTGCTTCCTAAGAAATCTGGATTGTATATTTAATTTTATTTATTAAGCGGTTGGGTGCCACACTGCGGTAGGTCCCAGCGAGGACGCTAGTTCAGATTGCATGCCACGTGTAGCTCTGAGGTGAAGATGACAGGAAGGTTGAGACACAGAGACTAGGATGAGGGGAGGATTGCCTGTGGACAGACATTTTGTCGGCCAACCACTTGCTTGGTGTTAAGACCAGGCGACGAAAGGAGACAACGGAGAGCAGTTGAGGAGGGTCTTGCAGAAGGTACAGCGGAGAGCAGTTGAGGAGGGTCTTGCAGAAGGTACAGGTGGCAGCAGCTGTTGCAGCAGCGTACGTTAGAGCCAAGGCCGAGGCAGCAAAGGCTACCATTTCTGCAATGTCCCAGGTCTCTTCCCAGGCCTCTTCAATAGGTGTTAGTCAGGGTATATCGAGGCCTTTCACTAGTCAGTCTGTTGGCGTGCAAGACCACCAGCAACAACCCTTGTCAATTGAGGACGTTGAGATTAGAGCAACGGATGCCCTTCACACAGAGTTACAGCGTCAGATGCAGGAGGTAGAGGATAGACGAGATAGAGCTAGAAAAAGAAGAAAGCCTAGACTAGAGCCGAGGGAAGCAGAACTAAACAGGGTAGAAGCTGTGAATGTGGAAGCACGTAATGTGCGGGGACTTCGGTGCAGTCAATGTGACTGAAGTACATGCCCTTTAGTAGGGGATGCTGACCACATTGACAACTGGTCAGGATTAGATTTTGGCTGCGCAGAGAGGCCCCAGGCCTACGGCGAGGCCTGCGCAACCTGTTGTAGTTCCTCCAGCGGTGGCTGGTGCATCCGTGTCACTGTTGCCTATGAGAGGTCCCTTTGTACTTCAGTACGACATATGTCCATCTGGCAGTTCATCAGTAGGTAGTTATAGCAAACTCCGGAAACCGCTTCATTTGCCCCCCTATGAACTGCTGCAACAACAATGCGGCAGTTGGGCCAACGACTTGAGCAACAGGTTAGGCAACTTGTCTTACCGGTTCAGTCATTGGTGCAGCAGGCACAAGAGTCCGGTCCACAGCCATAAGACGCATCTAGAGAAGGGCGTAACCGTTTCTGCAGCAAGATAGTTGGATGGGTAGGCACAGGGTGATGAACATAGCCGCGGTCTCGACTCTTGTGCTAGAGCCAAGTGTCTTGATCAGTTTCTGTTGTTAGGGGAAGAGATGTGGCAAGAATGTCGTAAGGCACGACTTGCTGCTCATAAGTTCACCGACATTAAGGGGAAACTAGTCATGCTCTTCTGGCCACAGTGCGATAACCCTGTTTGTTTGGCTACTCGCATGGGGTGCTTACCGATTAGAGTCGAAAGTGAGACCACCTGGGCTGTGTACGATTCCTCGTTTGGTAATAGGCGGGCCTCAGATTAGGAGGCATAGCTTAGTGACGTGAGTAAGGGCTTGGATAATGGGAGGAAGAAGAAGCCACCCTGGGATCGACGGAAGGACGATCTTGGAATATAGACAGAGCGAGTAGGCGACCATGAAACCAAAGGGAGGAGTGTTGGCCATTTGTAGTTGGGTTGAGGCAACTGGCATGCAGGGAGGCATCCAATCTAGGAGTCAAGGGGAAGTTTTTTTTTTTTTTTTTTTTTTTTTTTTTTTTTTTTTTT